TCGTAACACAACTGGCAATATAAAAAATATATAATTTACAAATTTAATTCAAGAATTCTTAGTTGGGCAGAACTAAGATGGTGCCTCAAGTATGAGTTAAAGGATCTTTCTTTATTTCTTTCAAAAAAATTAAGCATTTTAAAAACAACATTTTTTCAAAAGGATCAAGTTTTAATATAAGCTGAGGTCCTAAAGTTGACTTTTATTTGTGCAATTGTCATTCAATTATGTAAATCTGTTTATTTTGATGGGGTTAAAAGTTGTGCAGTGCTCAATGCATGTCAGAGTCAGGGTTGCCAGATCTCACGACTTAGCCGTAATTCTCATGATTTCTTACCTATTTTTTTACTTACATATATTTTCTCACACTTCACGCTTTTCTCACGTTTTTTGAGTAAATTAAAATAATCACGCTTAGTCTCACACTTTTTCTCACGTTATTAAATTTTTTCAAAATATTTTTAAATTTTTTTAAAATATTTTTAAATTTTTTCAAAATATTTTTAAATTTTTTTAAAAACAAATATAAAATTTTAAATACTTTCACATATTATAATTAGTTAAATTTAACTTAGATATTGCTAAATATACAATCAAATTAAGATATCTAAAAACATTAATTTCTAGAGTTGATTAATTAGATTCAGGACAGGAACATTTTTATAAAATAATTAAATAAAATTTATAATAAAGGTAATTTATACTCAGTAGGTCAGATTAAAATATTTAAAAAATGCTAATTTATGATTTGATGTATTATGTATCTTCTTAAAAACCTCATTATTTACACAATGGATTTTCAAATTCAAAATATTTCAGGAAGCTCATCCTCAACCTTGTTGTAAATGTTAGATTTAATTTGCATAAAGAATTCTTTTGGATTTTGTTGTACTTTATATTTAATTTGCATAAAGAATTCTTTTGGATTATTATTATAACGTGTGATAAAAATATTATATTTGAATAGTTATGAATATTAGTTATAAGAAGATTGAAAAGAGTATAAAAAGGCTAATTTTTACCATACAAAAGATCTTTCATAATTATTAACTTTTTTGTATTTTTTTTTTTTATTTTTATTAATCTTTTTTATTATTTTTACTTTTATAATTTTGTTAATTTGATAATGTTATAATTTTGAATAAAGGATGAAATTGATTTCATGATTTCGTGTTGTTTTCTTTTTTATTTTAGGTCTCAAAAGCCTTACTTTCAACATTCCTAATTATTATTAATTTCTTTTTAGATTTAGGTTTTGATTCACAATGACAAATCTCCCATTGTGACAAACCTCAAGTTATAATTCTCCAGATTAAAAATTGAAATATAAACAAACCAAAAAGAGGAAAATATATAAGGTAGGTTATAATAAAAGTTGGGAACAAAAATATGAATGGATAAAGCAGCATTCAGGGTCGACTGTAAAATGTAGTATATGTGCATCATGCTTTTCAATAAGCATAGTGGGAGTATGATATAATCAAGCATATGAATTCTAGCAAACATAAGCTGGCAAATGAACAATCTAGAACCAATACTACTATATCATCATACATAACCAAATATTCTAAGAATGAGACCATGTGCGTAATTGCTAAAACAACATTCATATATCATTCCATAAAACATTCTCATATCTATATGTCGGCTGATTGTTCAAGCCAGCTATTTTCCACACTTTTTCCTGATTAAAATTGCATCAATATTTTCATGTGACAGAACAAAAGGCTCGAAAATAATAAAAAATATTTTGGCACCTGAAACAAAGGCAAATATTATAAAAGATCTAAAAAACAATCATCCATTTTCAATACTAACTGATGCATCGAATAAAGGTAATATAAAAACATTTCCCTTATTACTTAAATACTTCAACAAATTACTTAAAAATTTTTCGTCTGACAGTGAAACCTCTAAATACATATCTAGATGTTTGCTAGAAAATTTAAAAATCGCTGGACTTGATATTTCTAATGTAACGGCCTATTGTGCAGATAATGCATCTGTAAACTTTGAAAAAAATCAAAGTATAATTGAAAAGTCATAATAATAATATTATACCAATAGGCTGTATATGCCATATTCTTCACAATTCGTTCAAAAAGGCTGTAATTTTTCTCAAATATGATATTGAGAGTATAGTAATAAAATGCTATAATGAATTTAGCACCTCAACAAAAAGAGTTACAATTTTAAAAGAATTGGTAGAATGGTGTGGTTTAGAATGGTCAGAATTACTTCGCCGTGTTCCAACATGTTGGCTTACATTAATCCCAGCGATTGAGCGGATGCATAAGTATTTTCAACCCCTTAAAGAATATTTTTTAGTAACCCCACCAATTTTGAAAATATTTTTTGAAGATAATTTTGCAGAGGCCTATTTAGGTGTTGTCCTTAATGTTGGCACTTTAGTTAATAACATAAATTTACAATTGCAATCTGAAGATGTATTAGCAATATATGATCCTATCCTAAAATTAAAGAATTCATTAAATTTAAAAATTCAACAAAATTTTTATGGGAGCATTTCTAAAAATATTTTACAACATAATAATGATGTAGAAAAGGCAATAAATTTCAATAATGAATCAAAGATATTTATAAAAAATATTATAGATTATGTAGAAAAACGTTATGATATAATAGATAATATAGGGAAATATCTTAGCCCTATGACATTGGATAAATGTTCAGCATTTGAGCAATTATAAAAAATTATTATTAATTATAAAATACCAGATATAGATATAGATAGTCTCTTTGAGGAATATTCACAATTTTATTCATATTATGAAGAAAAATTATCAAAAAACAATCATATGAATGCCTAAGAAAAATGGATGGATTTCCTCTCTAATAAAATTTCACCCTTGATAGAGAAAATATGTGATTTTATATTTTCTATTCCGCATTCAAATGCTTCATCCGAGAGAATATTCAGTTTAAAGAATACTGCTTGGAGAAAAGAAAGCAATCGATTACATTTATCAACATTGGAAGCAGAACTTATGGTGAAACAAAATTTTAATTATTCATGTAGAGTTCTCAGCCTATCTCCAAAGTGCTGATGGGAAATCTTTATTACCTCTTTTAAAATCATCTATAAAATATAATTAATATTATGCAATATTTATAACATGGGAAATTATACATTATAATAAGATTAGTAAATCAATAAAGAATTTGAATTTTCATTGTCTTTAAATTTTTTAAATATAACATATTAACATAGATTAGTATGTTATATCAACATCCCCGGCCAGCAAAAGTGGGCCAAAGACCCGCAAATTAGGGGATATGGGGGGCTTTGCCCCCCATTAAAAGAAAAACTTACGTTCTCAAGTGAATAATATCTGGGCGATTATTAAAATCACAACGATTTTTGCATATCAAGAATATTACTCAGTAATATTATCTTATTGTTTAAATTTAAAATATTTATTTCATATATTTATAGAAGAGTTGAAATGAATTTTTTTTTCTACTTTATGAGGCCTTGAGAGCAGCCCTGACCAATTTAAAGGATTCTGAAGATTCTGTCACTTCAAGGCTAGTGCTATTGTTTTTACAATCGAAAATTTTTATTTTATCACTTTTTGTTTTAGAAAAAAAAATATTTTAAACTTCTAAAAGATTTTAAATGGGTTACTATAAAAAAAATTGGCAAAATTCCCGGCTATGTTTCTCCATTATTATTTCCACTTTTTAAATTCTTTCTTTCTTTCTTTCCTTCTTTCTTTCTAGATAACAAGCTTGGCATGTATAAAATTGCAAACCTTGTCAAATGATATAGGGTTTGCAAACCAAACTTAATTGGCAAAAGATTGTCTGATTCATTGAGAAGTATAATTCAAATTATTCTCTTGTATCATTTTTAGGTTGGGTATATATATTTTCAATTAAATTTAATATATTTTGCTTTAAATTTCCATTAAATTTTTTTTAAATCAGATCTTATTTTCTTACAACAAAAGGAATTGTCAAAAAGATAATTGTTAAAGATGATATCAAGGATAGCAATCAATTTTACAATTTGAATTCTGGTCATTATAGGATGTCTAACCTTAGTATTTATTTGATGGCTAAAAAGAAGGATATATAATCTAGAAGTTAAAGAATCAAAGGCTTTCAATGAAACAAAATTTATTTAAACAATTAAATATCGACAAAATTATAACTTCTTATCTTCCCCTAATTTATTTAAATTATTAATTAAATATTTATTAACTATTCCTGCAACCTTATGTCAGCCAAAATGGCAATATGCAAAATAAAACTTCAATGAAACAAACTTTATTTAAACAATTAAATATCCACAAAATTATAATTTCTTTCTCTCTTCCACTAATTTATCTAAATTATCAATTTAAAAATAATATTAAAATTTCTTTACTTCCATTTTCAAATAATTTTTAAAGTTTATAATATTATAGTTATTATATTTTAAAGAATAATTAAATAGCAATAAAAAATTACATATTATTTTTGAAATTTATAATTAAAGAATGGGAGTTTACAAAAATTTAACTACTTCTTTTGAATGGAGGTATTTTTTTCATGTGTATACTGTTTCCTTAGCTTGTGGGGGTATAGGGGCACTGGGTTTAAATCATCACATTATTTATTTTTTTAATTTAATCACTATAAAGTCAAGGGTGCCATTTAAAAGTAAAAAAATACAAATAAAATGTCCAAATTCCTAGATATGCTACATAATTGAAAACATTAAATCATAATTATGAGCTAATAATAAGAAATTTCTTTGGTCTACAAAGTCATATAAAAAATATGTTGTATATATATATATAAAATTCATAGGGACATAAAAAAGTTTGAAACTATTCTAATTTCTAAACTGATAACTTTATAACAAAATCAATAGAGGTGCAAATTCATATCAAAAGCAAAAATATAAAGAGAATATAGTTAGAAAAATTATACCAAAAAGTAATAGTATATTAATACATCGCAACTAAAAATTATTAATTCTATTATATTACTTATTTTAATGTTTACTGATAAGAGAATCTGATAAAATTTTGTAGAGAGTTTTAGCCGCATATATGTTTAATTTACATATTCTCGGATACAAAAATTCGAGCTAGACTACCGCCGGCCATGTGAAATTTCCTAAAAAATGGAATATCATATGAATTAAAATTTTTTTAACCAATATGAGCTTATCTTCTTCATATATAAAATTTAGTCATGTTAAAGAGCATCTTGAGATACAACTTCCTTTTCTCATTCTCATCAAACTGGAAGGTTTAAACCGATCGACAAAATTTTAGAAGAAAAAAAGGGCTCGTATCCAGCAGAGCCGATATATAATCTGGGAGAGGGAGATACTAGCAAATGTCCTATCCAAGACTTTCAATCTGCCTCTTATAAAAATATTAAAAGATTGTCTAACAAATATTTTATTCTCTAATTTATTTAATAATGTATAATAGCAATATATACATTTACTACTAGATTGGCGATTCATTTATTTAAAAGTGCCCATACTCGATTAAATGACATTAATGCACATTTGCCTTACAGTTTACTCATATTATATGAACACTTTAATTAATGAATCGCTAATCTAGTAGCACTGGCCTATCCAGAATTTTGCTAAGGGGGGGGGGGGGGGGGTATTATAGTGTGAATATTTTACCCATTAATTTTGTTGTAAATCCCTTATTGTAGGCCTTTGGCTATATTAGATTTTTATAAAAATAATTTTAGGTTTTCACTTTTTTTTGTTAAAATGCATTTTTTCTAAAAATTTTGAATAATAGTCGTTATTTTACAAAGTTATTAATTTTTCCTAATTTTTCTCTCAAATTCTTTCCTATAATGTCATACATATTGTATATATTTTTTGAGGAGAGGGAGGTGGGGGTGTGGTGAGATGGGAGGGGATTTTTATTAGCTTAAAATGATATTTATTGTCTAGTAGAGTTGTATGTATGCACATCATTGGTATATATATACACAGAGTTGGGCAGTACCGCGAATACTTGTATCTAAGATACAAGATACAAGATCCTTTTGTATCTTGTACTCAGTATCTTTTTGACATTTCTAATAAGATACTAGTATCTGTATCTAAGATTCTTTATTCTAAAAAGAATCTTGTATCTTTTTCATTTTCATATTCTTGACAAAAGATATAGATACAGATTCTTTTTAATATTCATGTTTAAAATTTTACATATCACAGTATATATTTTATTTTCTTCGCGAATCTTGAATTAATTTCTTTATTTTTTCCCACCATATTTTAATATATTGACAGTCAAAATTATTTGGAAAATTTACAAATCACATTAAGGTAGAAAGATAAAAAATAACAATACCAAAACGAAATATGTATAGATTATATTTTATATATAAATGTAACTCTATAGAATATCATTATCAATTTTATGTAATATTTTTAATTTTAGGATAATTAACACTCATGGTAGTGAAATTTAAATTATAGAAATAAGTTCCCCTGAATCGTATAATCTAAAAATTTTATATGATTTTTAAATATAAGTTAAAAATGACAATTTACCGGCTAAATGTAAAACCTGTATAATCAAAAAAATAATAAAGGGTTAAACACAAATTGTTAAACATATTATAGTATATTATTTATGTGTAGTTAAAAGGGGCATAGGTTATCTTAAAAATTTAAGTTTACAATATTATCTACCTTTAAAAGCTGCTCCAGATGGTATGGGTAAAAGATTTTAAGAAAATATTTTCCTATGATTTGAATATAATGTGGCTTTTTTGACATGAATATCACATCCATATTTTAAAACTTATGTAGGCATTCGGCTAATATTATCGGAGGTGCTTTTGGGCCCATATGCTTCACAAAGAATCTGTATCTGTATTTAGCAATGACATATATAATACCTAGACTGACGATTCATTCATTAAAATGCATTTTCAAGCGTTAAAAGCAAATCAGCTGGACCCGCCATTTTGGTAACACATATAGTAATTATTCTCATTTTAAAAACTATTATTAAATTGATAACTTGCTTCCTTTTTGTCTCGATGATCCGGTAATTCTTTAATAAAGTTTGCATCAGATATAGGAATAAATTAGACTCTCGTTTAAAATTTTAATAATGATTTGTGTAACCAAGATGGCGTCTCCAGTTGATTTGCATTGATGTACACTTTTAATGAATGAATTGTCAGTCTAGGTATTATATATGTCATTGGTATTTAGATTCTTTTTCAAGAGGACCTGCCCAACTCTGTATATACATTATTGAATTTATTATAATAATGACTTTATTTCTTTCCATTTTTGCTAAGTGTAGATTTAATTTCTTTTATGAGGCAAAATTACGTCCGAACTTCGCGATGGATGCTTTGAACAATTCTACATATATGACTGAATTCGTTAAACTGGATTTCCCTTAACCCAGTAGCGATGACAGCGCCTAAATAGGAAATTGCAGAATTTCTTCGACATCGGCAAGATCTCCAACGGAGAAAAGGCCGCGTTGTTTCTCCGAAATCTTCCAGATGACGAATTTAATAACATTGGACAATTTTCACGGTGGCAGACTTCTAGGACACAATCGCTCTGCTTGGCAAATTCAAGCTACAACATCCATCGAAGACTGAGAACACCAAACTGTCATTATTTTATGCTGCCACTCAAGGCAAGGAGGATTCGTTCTCGGCTTGGGTCACACGCGTAGCACGAATCAAAAAAGAATGCAAATTCAATGGCATTCAGCGCATTATTGAGAAAGTGAGAGTTGCTTCGAATTCCAAAGATGTCAGGAAAGCGGTCAGGAGCTCTATGACTATAGAAGATATTTACAATCTAGGTCTAGAGGAAGACACTGCGGAGCCAAGTGACATCAAGGGCGTGATGAAATTGTTTCATTTGAATGAATCACCTGGAGTACAAGAGGTTAATCACATGGGCAGAGTCAAAAAAAGCCACGTAACCATAAAACCCATTCAGGATTAGGGTTGCCATACCCCCCCATCAGCGGGAGACTCTTGCAATTTTTTTGTTTGCACGCAGACATCTTTCTCCCGCAAAACTACCGCAATTGGAAATCTCTCGCAAAAATCTACCGCAATTTTTTTAATTTTTATTTGTATCCAATAATAAATCAACATCATTTCATTCGTATAAGTCAGTACAGGGGAGTATATCAACATCGATTGCAATCAGGGTTGCCAAATCAAAATTTTCAAATTGCGGGAGAAATTTAGTATTTTGTGGGAGAAATATGAAAATTGCGGTAGAAATATAAATTTGCTTAAAAAAAATTTTTGGGGACCAATTGACTTAATTATCCGCCTATTATATTTTATAATTAGTTTATATAAATGCAAAATTGGTAAATATTTTTTAAAATAAAATAACATCTTGATTTATTAAAATATATTAATTTTATAAAAAAAAACCAACGATCTTTTTTAAATATAAAAGAATGTAAACAAGATATAATTTTATATAATAAACAAACGATTTTAATTTTACAATGTAAAAAATATATTTTATACGAATATCCCGCAAGACCGCAATTGGAAATCTATCGTGTGTGTATATAACATTATAAGGATAGGCGCTTAATTATCACGTATCAAGTTTAAATACATAATAAAATAATATTGTACTCATTTCAATGATAATTATTTTATTTATTATAGTTCAATCACATTATTATAATCAGTGCAGGGGAGTGTATCTACATTCATTGCAAAACAAAAATATTCCCCATAAATATGAAATAATACAGATGCAACTACATTTGCTGCAATAATCACGTATCTTGTACTACAATATTCACAGATATACTTATCATTACAATGTGGGTAGAATCTTTGCCCATAATTATTAACGACTCCAAGATAAATGAAAACTTTACTTATAGAACAAAAATGAGTAAGGATATCATAAATGTTTTAGAATCTGAATCCAGGAGGTCAATTCTTACGATTTGAAAGATCGACTTACATATGCAATTATAACAGATGCATCTAATAAGGGAAATATAAAAATATTTTCCTTGATCCTCAGCTATTTCAACAAAATTAAGTTCGTTTCAATAAAACTATTAAATTTTTTTCCCTCAAATTGTGAATAATCCAAAGATATAAATAACCATGTAATGGTAAATACAACAGATTCGGGATTATCAATAAATTGCATGTCAGCTTTCTGATATAATAATACCTCAGTTAATTTGGCAAAACCAGTGTATTTACAGAATTGAGTCAGCCTAATGTTGGTTGCGACATGTTCCTAATACACACCATAGATAAATTAAAATTTTACAAACCTTTAAAAAATTATTTCTTAAATAAATTATAAAAGCTGTCCTAACATTTTGAGAAATTTATTCAAGAATGAATGGCAGAGGTATATTTAGGAATGATTTCACATGTAGGAAATCTACTACATGCTGTTAATGTGCAGTTGCAATCAGAAGAATTTTAACAATAATTCAGAAAACTATTCTGTAGATGTGTTCATCTTTACATTTAAAAATTGACAATAAATTTTATGACGCCATTGCTAAAACTATATTAAAATGTTAAAATATTTTAAAAATACCGATAGACATTGATGTCTTGTTTGAGGAGATTGTAATGCTCTCTATTTTTGATTTACAATGTAAAAAATATATTATACGAATGTATAAATAAGATTTTATAAAATATAAAAAAAATATTGTTAATTATATTTTATTTGAGATTTAAATAATGGAACTAAACGTTTACCGTCGTTATTGAGATATTTATAAGCTCGGCCTCTAATGTTTTTAAAGCAATCCGATTTCTCTTCTTTTTCCAGGCAGTCCTCATCAGGCTAAAAATGCGCTCGGATGAGGCATTGGAATTAGGTAAGGAGAAGACATAGTCGCACTTTTTTTCCAAGCATGGGGATTTATTGTTATTACGAAAAAATTCTACCCATTTCTCCTCAGCTTTTAGACCAACTAACTTTAAGTATTTTGGCGAATCACAAAAAATAGAGAGAATTTCAATCTTCTCAAACACATCAATGTCTTTCGGCATTTTTAATATATTTATGAAATTATAAAAACCATCAATTGATGGTTTCTATTCCAAGGTCATAATATTTATACATTTGTAAATAGAGTTATTAAAATCAAATTTTGATTATAAATATTCTAAAATTGTCTTAATAAAAGTATCTGCTT